TATCCATTAATGCCAAAGGATACTTGTTCTCAATTTTGCATTCAGCAGCTTCTTCATTTTTCTTCATATTTTCAACTATCTCTTTTATATCAGGAGGTAATACTTCTGTAACCCCCGTAGTAAGTTTTCCAAGAGGATTTATAAATCTTGGTTTAAATTGTAATTCAGGTTCTATTGTGGTAGTTTGTCCCTTTCTTATATAAAAATGAGGAGAAGAAACCATTTCAACTTGAATACGTGTTGGTTGAGTGTCACGAGGAATTTGTTCGTTATTAGTATGTGGATCGTAAAACTTTGTTTTTTCAGAACGATGGATATTTAATCTATTATTAAAATCACGGCATGAAAGTGCTACATGATACATCCAATTAGTTTCACTTATAAGAGCACGAGGATTTGGCATATAATTGGATCGTCTCGAAAGAACATTGTTTGCATTTTCATTTTCTGAATCAAATCCTTGATCGCTATTATTATTATCATCATAATTAATATTCGATTCAAAATAATCGTCCCTTCGTCGCTTCCCTCCAAGTACAATTTTATATCCAAATAATTTAAATATTGATCTAGCTGACACTATCGTAATTGCTCTATTTCGAAAATTGGAAGGTAGATAGCCATTTGCAACAAGCCATTCACGTTCCTCATCTGTTGCAGAGATACGTTTTAAGGAAGGATTTTTTGAGAAAAACAAATAACTATCCCGAAAACCCAAACATTTTGCTGGCTCCATAGAACACATGTATAAGGTAGATTCACGTGATTCTAATTGGAAGACGGGGACTTTATATTTTCTCCCTAGAAAATCAAAAATGGTTATATTATTAATTTACATGATTTTAAAATAAAATTTATAATTTCAATTAGAAAAAAAATTTTTTTATATAAATACCTCCTAAGAGTTCCCCATCTTTTGTAATTTTTTGTTCACCTTTTTCATCTATAATTTCATTTTCTTCACTGTCTACATCTAGTTTCATATTATTCCCTTCCTTAGATTTATCTTCTTTAGATGTAACTTCTTCATTTTTTATAGTTGATTGATCATCATCATTATTTTTTTGTAATCGATCATCCATTTCATTGTCCGCCTCATCCGCATCTTCTATTGAGTGTGATAATCCCTTAACTTTCTTGTGATTACCAGTAGATAAAGTAATTCGATGACTTGATTCATTCTTACGTGGTCGACCAGCTTTACGTTTTCGTTTTATTGGTTTTTCGGAAACAGGTGATGTACTACGTTCGGGTGAATGTAATCTAAGACGAATTCTAGTTGGATGAGATTGTTCCTGTTTAGATTCATCAATCTCCATTGAATAAGGTTCTTGTTTTGTTTCCTTATCAGGTGCATCAACTTTTTTTACACTTATTTCGACAGGTGAAGGCGGTGAAGGTGGTGAAGGTGGAGGTGATGTTGCTGGTTGTGATCGTTTACGTGTTGAAGAGCGAGTTGTTCTTATGGCACGAGCAGGTTTTGTCTGATAAGAGACACTCTGAGTCGCCGCACGCCTTGGACGTCTCGTTGCTATTGTCTCATATTCCTCTCCTATTAAATGCATAGGTTAATTCATATAAGTTCTGTTTTATTTTTTTATGATTTATAACACGTTTTTAAAACAACTTTCTTTTTCTCCTCTCAAGGGACTAGACAAAGGGCAATACATTACCTTTAGAACCTTTTTGACTCATTGTGAATTATGTTAACAAGCACGAACGAAAAAATAAAACGTTTGATTGAGATTATAAAATTGCTTAAAAGATATTAAAGATTTGTTTCAGAGACAAAAAAATTGCCACATAATAATCTTTGTGTAATCAGCTGATGTTGATCATAACATGTATAACGTGATTTTTGAGTACCTGAAGAATCAAAAACGAAACCATTGCACTATTCGCTTCAGACCTTTTTTTGATTCTTTATTAGCATACATATAATAATTCTAAAGGAAAACGCATATTTTCGAAAGATAGATAACCTATTGTCTAAACAAAAAAAAATGATTTATTTTGTTAGTAGTATCAAAATTATTTAAATTTTTAAATTATTAAAAGTGAAAAAAGAATTTGGGAGCTGCGTTTGAAGAATAAATAAGAATGAATGGTTTAAGTCTTTCATTAATAGGTGTTTTTGTTATGTGAAATGAAATAATGAGTATTCTTCTCGGGAATCCTTTTGGACAGGTTATACAAATTACTTATAATATTTAAAATATTAAAATTTACTATTCTTCCGAAAAGTTAGGTTATATTTTTGCTTAGTAACATTCTAGCTAATACTTAGAATGATTTCTTTGGTCAGAACACTGTAAAATAAAATAATCTATGCTCTAATATACATTAAATATCACCATTCGATTACCTTAATGAAATATGATAAAGAATATTTTTTTTTTATCTTGGTTAATATCGATCCAACCGATATGAAACCTCATTCAATTCCTCTTGGTAAGCGTCAGTTATACTATTAGTGCTTGTAGTTATATAATAATGGCCAATCAAATCAAAAAAAACGATCAGCACATGACCAAGTCATTCACTGTCACCAGGGGAAACTTTTTCACCAAGCTTTGCTTGACGAGGCTGTTTGTGTAGAGTGAACTCACTATACACACACTAATTATTTGTATGAACATCTGCGAAGCATGAAAAAATATTTTCAATAGAGCAAAAATCCTATTATCTTCAAATTAATAATAATAAAAATTATGAAAATTATGAAAATTATGCGAATTGTTGAGAATTAATGTGTGAAATTTGAAAAGAACTAAAAAAGGTGGCACACTTGTTAATTAAAATTCTTTACTTTTTCTTTTCCCTTTTTTTTTTATTAATAACTTCGAATCGCTTATCAAAATCATCTAACCATTGTTTTTGTTAAGATATTGATATTGTCTATTATTATTGTTCTTTTTATTGATGTATTAAGGTTTACATATCTTATTTTGTCATTTAGAAAGATTTTCAGATGTGCTAAGAAACTTTGATCTCGATCCATTTTAAGCCTTATAACAAAAATTTATTACTTAATGTATATGAATATATTTATTATATTTATTAACGTATTTAATAATAATATTCGCAAAAATATCAACCAATACTAAACGATGCAAAATTACCAATTTTTCTTTTTTTCGAGATCATTTGCATATCATCGACATCATTCGATTGATATTATTCTTGAAATGAACCAATAATAGTAAAGATCTTTTAACTATTATTACCCAATTTATTTAATTTAATAAAAATTTTCGCGTCTATACACGTAATTATTATTACTTTAATTTCGCTTTCTTTGGCGTATTTTAAGTAATAACATTATTTCTTTAAAAAATATATATTTACATACACAATGTTACATTACACGGTCCAATACAAAAAACAAAGAAAAAAAATATTAATAACAGTAATGTATGTATATTGATAAAATTAAATAAATGTTAATGTAAAAAATAATAATGATAGAATCCTAAAAAGGCTAGCTGTTATTTTTAAATAATATGAATTTGCGAACTTGGTACTACTCGAGAAGAGCATTGTCCTATTATTGTTATTAACTATTATTATTTACAGTATTATTATTATTATTAATAGCACAAGCATTATCATCTATACATACA